GGGGGAGATATGAGGGAGATATGGCGCAGCGTGGCCCACTTGACGCCGTCGACCACCGTATCTCCCCATATCTCCCCATATCTCCCCATATCTCCCCATATCTCGGGCGCGGCGTCGCCCACTTGACGCCGTCGACCACCCGCGTCGTCACCGGCATCGCGGGCGCAAGCCGCTGGACCCACTCGATGACCTGCAGGTTGTGGATCAGCCTCCAGATCTGCACGCCGCGCGCCGCCAGCACGAGGTTGACGACGATGAGGCCCGTCTGCATCGTCAGCGCCGAGCGCACGGCCTGCCCAAACGTCCGGCTGCGCGCCTTGAGCGTCTCGTACTCGAGTCGCTTCCGCCGCTCCGTGTAGACCTGGCGCGAGAGCGCGACGAGGGAGAGGGTGGTCACGACGTAAAAGGAGCGGCGCCACACTGGCCTCCACCCCCGCGTCGACGGCGCGCCCTCCACCGCGCTCGTCGACCGGCCCGTCTTGCCAATCGAGGCGGAGCCGCTTCCGGTCGCAGAGGCGGCTGCGGGCGTCGTCGCGCCGCCGCTGGAGCGGGAGGCGGAGAGGGGCGACGAGAACCACGCGCGCCGCTCCACCACCTTGAACGGCGACGGCGAGCCCCCGCCCGGAGGCGTGGTCGGAGGCGTGGTCGGCGGCGAAGGCCCGGCCGTCTTGAGGTGCTTGACAATCTGGCGCGCAAACGAGGGGTGCCGGCGCAGCACGGCGGAGACGCGCTCGAGCACCGCCTCGTCCGTCGGCGGCGCCTGCACGGGCGCGATGGCGCTCTCCGGAAGCCGACGCAGGTGTTTCAGACCCGTGTCGCCGGAGAGAGCCCGACCCCTCCTGATGAGAGGGATGCCGGATAGCGCGCCGCCCGACGGGTCCTCCTCTTCCACCGGGGTGCCACGGCCCGGCATCGGCGGCGGCGGCGGAGCAGGATGCTGAGTTGTCTCTCCCGTCTCCTCCCGGCTCATGCCCGGCCAAATGGCCCCCGGTTCGGGGTAGCTGGAAAAAGAAAAAGAAATTTTTTCGCGTTTGTAGCGGTGAGAGAGCCGTGTGGACCGGAGGTAACAGCAGCTCCGAGCGGCGCGAGAGCCACCATGAGTGTGTTTGCGCATGCCCTGTTCTCCGTCGCGGCGGCAGTGACATCGAAGGCAGCCGTGCCACCGCCGATCAAGTCGGTGACACGGGCACGGAGCAGCTCGACGATGCAGTACCAGCAGCAGGGCGGCTACTTTGAGCAGCAGGGCTACGGGCAGCAGCCGCAGCAGCAGGGCTACGCACAGCAGGGCTACGGCGGGCAGCAGGCAGGGCCTCGCGTCCTGCTGTACGGCGCGCAGGGCGTCGTCGGTCACGACAAGCACATCTACGGGCGTGAGCGCGAGGACTACACGGAGCTGCCCTACATCGTGCGCAGCCTCCCCTCCCGCCCTCCGTGGCCTCTCGCGGCGAGCACGCCGCCGCCCTCCGCCCTGCAGGTCAACGTCGGCGACGAGACCGTCCTCAGCCGCTGGAACATGATGCGGCCCTCCTCGTTCGTGTCGCGCGTGCAGTGCATCGTCCTAGATGGGAAGCAGGGTGGGGGTAGCAAGTACACAAACTACACTGCGCTGTTGGCCTGCGAGCTAACACACAGAATACAGACTTATGGTAGCAAGTACACAAACTACACTGCGTTGTTGGCCTGCGAGCAAACACACAGAATACAGACTTATGGCAAGTACACAAACTACACTGCGTTGTTGGCCTGCGAGCTAACACACAGAATACAGACTTATGGTGCAAGTACACAAACTACACTGCGTTGTTGGCCTGCGAGCTAACACACAGAATACAGCCTTCCCATCCAGGTGCATCGTCCAAGTGGCGCCCGACGGCACCGCCCTACCCGCCTCTGCTGCTGCCGGCACCCCCCCCCCCCCCCTCTTTTTGCCGACCGTGGAGGAGCTCTCGGCCGTAGGCACGCCCCACCTCACAGCTGTGAACAGCGTCTCTTCACACCTCTAACTGTGAACAGCTCTCGGCCGTAGGCACGCCCTACCTCACCGCTGTGAACAGCGTCTCTTCACACCTCTGGCTGTGAGCAGGTGGAGGGGGTACGAGCCCGACGGCAGCTGTGAGCAGCGTCTCTCCACACCTCTGGCTGTGAGCAGGTGGAGCGGGTACGAGCCCGACGGCAGCTGTGAGCAGCGTCTCTCCACACCTCTGGCTGTGAGCAGGTGGAGGGGGTACGAGCCCGACGGCAGCTGTGAGCAGCGTCTCTCCACACCTCTGGCTGTGAGCAGGTGGAGGGGGTACGAGCCCGACGGCAGCTGTGAGCAGCGTCTCTCCACACCTCTGGCTGTGAGCAGGTGGAGCGGGTACGAGCCCGACGGCAGCTGTGAGCAGCGTCTCTCCACACCTCTGGCTGTGAGCAGGTGGAGGGGTACGAGCCCGACGGCAGCTGTGAGCAGCGTCTCTCCACACCTCTGGCTGTGAGCAGGTGGAGGGGGTACGAGCCCGACGGCAGCTGTGAGCAGCGTCTCTCCACACCTCTGGCTGTGAGCAGGTGGAGGGGGTACGAGCCCGACGGCAGCTGTGAGCAGCGTCTCTCCACACCTCTGGCTGTGAGCAGGTGGAGGGGGTACGAGCCCGACGGCAGCTGTGAGCAGCGTCTCTCCACACCTCTGGCTGTGAGCAGGTGGAGGGGGTACGAGCCCGACGGCAGCTGTGAGCAGCGTCTCTCCACACCTCTGGCTGTGAACAGGGTCGGGGCGCGCCCTGGTATTGGGTCGAGAAGGGGCAGGCGCAGGCGCTGGCCACGGGCAGCCAGATCTGCCTCGACGCAAGCGACCCGGAGGGGGCGGTGTTTCACGTGCAGGCGCCATGTCGCGGCCGCCGCCACACGTCGGCCTCTCAGCCGCACCTCCGCCTCTCGGCCGCACTTCGGCTGCACGTTAGCGTCTCGGCCGCACCTCGGCCGCACCTCGGCCTCTAAGCCGCACCTCGGCCGCACCTCGGCCTCTAAGCTGCACCTCGGCCGCACCTCGGCCTCTAAGCTGCACCTCGGCCTCACCTCGGCCTCTAAGCTGCACTTCGGCTGCACGCCGGCCTCGCTTCGGACACAGCCCGGCCGGTTCCACGCTCCCTCTTCCGCGTGCAGGTCGAGGGGCAGCCTGGCGTGCAGGGTGGCTGCCGCATCGCCCGCCCCACCCCGCACCGCGCCCCACCGCGCCGCATTGTTGCGCCGCATTGTTGCGCCGCACTCTCTCTCTCTCTCTCTCTCTCTCTCTCTCTCTCTCTCTCTCTCTCTCTCTCTCTCTCTCTCTCTCTCTCTCCCTCCCTCCCTCCCTCCCTCCCTCCCTCCCTCCCTCCCTCCCTCTCTCCCCCCCCCCCCCCCTCTCTCCCCCCCCCCCCCCCTCTCTCTCTCCCTCCCTCCCTCTCTCTCTCGTCCATGTGCCTCCTTTGAGGTGCCGAGACGCCTTTCGCCTCTCTCCCCGCCCGCCCGCAGGCCAGCAGCAGGGCCAGCTGCGGTACCCGTGGGAGCAGCAGGTGAGGGGAGCCGGAGGGTGCGCACGGCGGCGTGAACAGCTGGTCGTCACACACGTGCGGTTCCTTGGACAGGTGGACCCGCAGAGCGGCCAGGCGTACTACTACAACCCTCAGACGGGGCAGTCTCAGTGGGAGGCGCCGCTCTAACCGCGCGGTCCTGCAGCCTGGTGCTAGTAGAGAGACGGGCTAGAGTGGGTGGAGTGGAGTGGAATGAGTACATGAAGTGGATGTACCGCTCATGCACTATGGCTTGGCCCTAGAACCGTAAGTGGCATTGCGCTCGAGTGTCATATATCTCTACGCGATAGCGGCCACGAGCGAGTGACGAGTAATCGTGCCGTGGGGCCACGAATAATCAAAAAATAAGCGCCGGTGACACTCTCGGACGCTGGGGTTGGCCACTGGGGACTCGGGACTGCGGCTTCCTAAGTCAACTTTTTGAGAGGATCATTTATTTCATTTTGGCTGAGCTAACTCTGCCCGCTCGCTCGACCCTTTTGCCGCGAGAGGGCGCCGGCCGCGTGTAAGAGGTGGCTGGCGCCCTGAGGCAAGAACGCTAGCTACATGGGAGGGCTTCGTGAAGGATGGATTGAAAAACATTCGAACAAAGAAGAGGCGACGGGAGGAACCGGCGGAGGATGCAGTGACGTGAGACACACACACACACACACACACACACACACACACACACACACACACACACACACACACACACCGCTCACCCACGCGCACTGGGCCTTGCACTTTGAATGCCGTGGGGCTCCTGTCGTCAGACGTGGAGACGCGAGGGTTGCCCCCCCTAAAGCTCAAGGCGGACAGTCACAGGCTCATGTCGCGCAGATGGGATCGAACCACAAAGTTCATCTTCCCGGAGAAGCACAAAGTGATCACTCGCCGCTCCCCCCTGGGCCGCCTCCCGCCCTGCTCGAGGCGCCGGCTCGACGATGGACGCGAGGCACATATGCCTCCAACCGCACCCGCGAAGAGAGCACACACATGATCCGATCATGAACGCAATAAGCTGCATCGCCCTTAGGTACTGCCTCCCACCTTTGCCAAGATGGACGTCAAGCGCGTGTGCCGACGCGAATAGACAGTCCCAAAAGCCGCAAGGCGCTGAGAGCCATATGGCCGCGCGCGTGACAGGTATTACTACGACCTGACAATCCAGCGCCAGCCGCCGAACCAGACGCCGAGCATCGCAGAGGAGTGATCCCATACTACGAGGGGCGTCGCTCGAGTCTGACTGCTGGGTCCCCCATTGCTACATCGAGCTCGTCGCCTTTACGAGCTCTACTCGAGGAAGCTCTTGCGAGCTGCGCGAGAGCCAGGCGTGTGTACACTTCTCAACCTCCAGAGAGGTCTGGGCGGCGGAGAACCTCCTAGTCGACCCATTCCTCGTGTTTTGAGCCCTACCCTGGTAGCGCCACATTTTGTTTATGGCCTCGTTTTCGGCGTCGAGGGCAGCCAGCTCCGGCTGGATGGCGATGCAGAAGGCGCCGCTCGATGGGGGCCCGCCCTGCTGCGTGCCGGTCGCCGAGTCGCCGCCACGCGAGGTCGGCGAGGTCTCAGCGCGGCAAGTCTGCCCCTCGAGGTGGTGCTGCTCAAAGAGCCGCTTTCACACACACACACACACACACACACACACACACTCAGACTGTGCTCCCCCAGTCTGAGCAGTCTGAAGCAGTCTGGTGCAGTCTGACTGACCCAGTCTGACCCAGTCTGAAGACTTCACAGACTGCTTAGACTGCAAGTGGGAATAACCTCTAAAATTCTTAGGTTGTAAAATTCTTTAACCGCGATGGGCGCGCGTTCTGGATCTGTGAGTGGAGCCCCCCCCCCCCCCCTGGGGGGGCCGGCCCGGGGGGGGCGAGTGAGCGGTGGTCCGCGATGCCTGCAGAGGGCTGCGTGCGATGCAAGCGCCGCCTGCCGCCCGACGCCGGCCCTGAGAGGCTCTGCCGGCGCTGCAGCAAGCGGACTGCTCCCGAGGCAACCCACGCCCACACACCCGCCCCTTCGCCGCCGGCCTCAGCGCCGCCGGCTGCAGCGCCACCGATTATTCCTGCTACGCTGGCTGCTGCTACGCCGCCGCCCACAGTGCCGCCTACTGCTGCGCTGCCGGCCGCTCCAGCCGCGCTGAGGTCGCCGCCGCCGCCCACAGCGCGCTCCGACAGCGGCGCGTGCAGCCGGTGTTCTCGCCGCCTGCCGCCGGCAGCCACCCGCGGGCTCTGCAAGCGCTGTGTGGCCAGGGAGGAGGCGAATGGCGCCAGCGCGACGCCAGCCGCGCCTGATCCGGCCATCGGCGGCGGCAGCGCAAAACCAGCCGAGGCGGCTGCGGCCGCTCCCGCCGGCGCAGCGCCCAGCGCAAAGGAGATTCACGCGCCCGCAACACCCGCCGCTCCCGTCGACCCGGCGCGCATCCGCGCCTTGCTCCGCGAGGCACTCGCCGGCGGCGGCGAGGGCGTCGCCGATCAGCGGCTGATGGACTATGCGGCGGCGCTGCCCGCGGCGGTCGCGGAGGCGGCGCTTCGCGAGTGCTCGCGCCTCGACCTGCGCGGCGCACGGAACGCCCCGGCTTACGTGATGGGCGTGCTGCAGCGCAAGGCGGCCGAGGGAGGTGCGCCGGGCGACGCCGCCGCCGCCGGCGGCGGCGGCCGGGGAGGGTACGAGGGCGGAAGGCAGCGCGGCGGGAAGCGCAAGCGGCTGGCGAGGGAGGCCGCCGCGGGCGGTGCCGCGGGTGGCGAGGCGGCCTCTGCCGCCGACGCGGCGCAGGGCAAGGCCGCCGGGTCGCGGCAGCAGGCGCGGGGCGGGTCCGAGTCGCGCCGGCGGAGAGACGAGGCGCGGCGGGCGCGGCGGGAGGCGGCGGTGGCGACCTCGTGAGATCACTTTTTAGCTATCGTTTGGCCACGCTCCACGCCCACGGCTCGGCACGGGTAGGCGAGTGGCAGTCGCGGTGCGGACTTGCTACTGTAAGTCGTGTGTGCTCCGTTTTGCTTGCAAATACGCGCCGGGCAGCGGGGAGCGGAGCAAGGGCCCGTCCTCGCCATCCATCACGGTTCCATCACGCGTTCCTTCATGATTCATCGTCACGGCTGCGGCGCGGGCCTCGCGCATTCCTCGCCGGCGGCCCGGGGGGGGGGGGGG